GGGTTCGGGGTTTATAGGGCTTAGGGTTTGGGGCTTAGGGTCTATGTAGGGTTTGGGGTATTTATCGGATTCAGGCTCCAGCCCAGACGCTACGTCTGAGGCCACTGAGGGAACTCAACTTTGAAAGGGTGACTAGGGGCCTTCAGCACGGTCGTCTGAAAACTTGGTAGCACTATCCGCGTATAGCCCTTATTAAGTTTTAGACGCATGTACCTCGAGTGTTCGCATTGTGGTCCCTAGAACCCCTATGTAACCCGCTGTGCGACCTCCATGTAAAACTGAGGTTACTGGACAGGTGTCCGTAAACCGTAATGCCCACATCCTGAAGCTAAGCTTTAAACTTAATTAAGATGAAGGCCGTGAAACCCTCAAGCCCCAGTAACAGCCGACAACGCCGGTAGAGGCGTTGAAGACGGACTCGACATCGCCGAATGCGGAAGGGAGGCTCCCTTGCTACTAGGGGTTTCGGCTGCGAAGATCCGAAGAAGGGGCGAGCTGAGGGTCTGCCCTTCTCAAGAGTCTAAGGGTGTTCTGGTAGCTGTTATTAGGGGTTTAGGGTGTGGGGGTGTTGCCTTACGACTTACGGCTTTGTGATACCTTGAGAGTGAGAATTCAGCTGCTCAAACCGGGGTTGGCAGCATAGCCATTTGCGACAATGTGTTGAGGTCTACCTTGCCGTAAACCACTTAAGCCATCTAGTGCTAACTAGTGTTCAGACGTAGTCCAACCTTTCAAACTAAAGGCGACTTGCCAACGTGGGTGCGCCACATTTTTGTGGCATCCTTTCGTGCACATGAAGCGACACCCTCCTCCGACGGATGAGTGGCAAATCAAACGATCCCGAGTTGATGACGCCTGTCTTTCCAAAGTCATGCAACACGAGACAGTGGCCTGGAAGTCGTTCCTGCGGTTAAACGAGGCGCAGCTGTTAAACGAGGCATGGATGGGTGAGACATGGATTGGCGATGATGGGTTTCTGCAGAGAGCCGTGCCTCCAATCCCCATGCCTCTTAAATTTTACATCCAAGAAGTGTTGAGTTCTACCGGCACCTTGGAGGACTTGTCGGAAGAGGCCGCACCCTTGATGCAAGATCACACCGAGTATGTGAGGAAGGTGGTCTCAAGTTTACAAGAAGGCGTTTTGGTACTGTTCTACTTTGACAGTGAAGTGATTGCCATTAATGGCCAAATTTCCCTGCAGCGCAGCCTTCAAGTGTGCGCTGAAGAACTGGAGATGTTCACCCGCTGCTGTCAAAGTAGGGGCTTTCCAAAGAGCAAGGTGTCCTCACTGATGAAGAGTGTATCAGCCCAGTTGCTGGCCCCAGTGGAAGAGTTGATCCGCTTACACCCGTGGATTCTGATCGTCCCTGCTGGAACGAGGATGGCCAGGATTCCTTTTCAGTGCTTGCAGCTGGGTGGCGACCTACTTCTCACATCCAAAGTCGTCACCTATGCCAACTCTCTCACAGAAATGTCTTTGCTATCTCCACAAAGTGTTCTGGGTGAGGGACACGAGATTCAATCCGCTGTCGTCCTATCATCTCCAATTGGAGCTACCTTGCCAGCTGGTAGCAAGGAGCCTGGGAAAGCAGGTGCCCCGATGCCTGAGCTTCCCTATGCCGCATGCGAGGGGCGTTTGATCTCGAAGCTTTTTTCAGCCAGTGGGGTATGTCACAAACTTGAAGAAGGCGAGCTATTTTCAGAACAAGTGAACGGCCTACGGTCACATTTGCAACAGAGCAAGGTGGATCTATTGCACCTTGCCTGTCACTTTGTTGTGACTGAGCCTATCGACCAGTCGTCCTTTCGCTTATCCAATGGAAGCCACTTGAGCGTCCAAGAGCTGGCAGACTGCATCCCTGGCGGGCTCCGCTTGTGCTTCTTCTCTGCATGTGCAGTGCCCTGGGGACCAAATGAGCCTTATAAGGAGGGGCCCTATATTCCCCTTATACTATGGATCCCTACATGGCTATATGAACCTGAAACCCTTTTAGGGTTCATTTCGTCCTTAAGGTGGGCTCCTTGAGCGTGCCAAGCCTCGGCTTAAGCGACTTGGTGGTGTCACAGATTAGCCCGAGGAGACCCGGGGCGGTGGTGACCACGGATTCTTGTCCTGCTTCAGATTGACATCAAGAGTTCTTTGCTGGCTTCGGCCTTACCTATTGTCTCCAATATGGCAGATCCTTTTTGTTAGTCTAGCCAATTTCATATTGAGGATCCTATAAGGTAATTAACCTTAGAAAGGAACCACAATGGAGACTATAGGTAGGTTTTGTTGATGCCAGTAGGCCAAGGATTGGAAGGTCCCTGATGCGGCCGCCCTGGCACTGAGCAGAGGCCTCTATGAGCAGTGGTTCTCCTCCCGGGCTGCTGTGGGTGAACTTCTGCGTGCAACTCAGTGCGACTTGAGCAGGCAAAAGGCTCAGCAGATCATTCAGAGTTCTCGAAGCTTTGTCGAGCAGGGCTGTGAAGATCACGTGGATCCCATGCTGCGCTTAGCGGTTTAGACCGAACCGCCCACAATGAAAGCCCTTCTGCTGTACGTTCTACCCGACCCTGTCCCATACATATAAACATCCCGAAATATCCCGAATTTGTTTTCCAGGCGCTTCTCCCGGCGGGAAGCTTTTTTTCGTTACAGGGGTTGGCCTTGCGCATAGGGCCTCAGCGAAACCGAGGACGCTGCTGCGGGACTGCTTTTGAGAGGTCTCTCCGCCGAAGCGGCCAAGGTGGAGGATGCCACCGGCCCGTCAGAGCTATCTGGGGGTGGTTCCAAATTTGCAAGCGTGCCGTTTTGGTGGGGCGCCTACCGGATCTATGTGAACGCATTGAAGTGCGACATCGTAGGCAAGTCAGAGTCACGGCACGCGGAGAACGCTGCACATGCCCTCGTGTCAAGCATGGACCTCCGCTGTTATGCTCAGCCGGTGAAATCGCTGCTCCTTTCAACCTGGGGCAGTAATATCGTGCTTTCGATGACACTAGCTCCAGAAGGCGTGCTTCATGGCATTCTGGAGATCTGCTGCTGGAGGCAAAGTCAAAGTAAAACCTTACAGCGCTCTGAGGGTCTGCCAGAGATTCGGGCGATGGGTGTTTGTGCTTCTGCTGCAAATTGCTCAAATTGCTCCACTCACGTTCATGGCAGCTAGCTTTGTTCCTACTTACTATAAGGCTGAAGGGCTAGCTTTCTTTGCCAGCGGGGAGTTCTTTGCGTTTGCACTGCTCAATGGCTATGATGAAAGCCACTAAGAGAATTGCAGTTCTTCCCAGTCCCAAAGTGCGCGCAATCGAGGTGCTGCAAAGAATGTGCTTTGTGTCGCGGCGGCAAGGACGTTAGCTGCTCTGAACCAGAATTTGGAGATGCTGTGGCGAAGTGATTTGGAACCAGGCGACATGCTTAACCTCCACAGTCTTTGTTTCTCCGCCTCAGGGGCATCACTCTATTTGCAGCAACGGACGCATTTGCGAGTTGTGACACCAAAGGCGCAGGAGGGCTGGCTCGTGACGGCTATCCAGGAGTGTTCGCCTGAAGTGCTTAGGCTTGCCTTGCCTATGAGTTGCTCCTTCGAGGACGGCATTCCATTGAAAGGGCACTGCAGGCTGGATTTTCTCAGTGGCATTGAGGTAAAGAGCATGCTTTCCATGAGATCCCAGTTTCATGAGTGTGATGTCCTTGTCATCACAACACCTTACTTCAAAGAAGAGGAACGACAGAGCGTCAGGGTGAAGCCCGGGCTGTTGGGCTTGCGTTTGGATGAAGTTGAGGAAGGCCTTGAAGTTTTAGAAGTCAAAGATGGTGCTCAAGAGTCGCTCATCGAAGCTTGCGTTGCAAAAGGATACGCTGTGCGTTGCTTTGCTGGCCTTGATGCACGGGGATGGTCACTGCGAGATCTGGATGAAGAAAAGCATGCACAGCACAATGACTATGACATATCTTTCACTCTGCCAAAGCCGGAGCTTGAAGACGAACCCAGCTGCCAAGTGAAGATCTTTTCAGAAAGAACACACCAGTGCCTGGCAAGAATCTGCTTGCCGTACTTTTTAGGTGGTGGTTATCCAGAATCAGCAAGCAACGTGGCGCAGTTGCCGGAGTGTGACGAGCTCTTAGTCGGAGCTGCATTGTCTTTGGTCCGATTCAACACCGCTGGCGAGGTGCTACAACGCGTGCCTTTGCTGATCCTGCCGGCATCGTTGACGATTGCCGGCGGCTTTTTGATGATGGCTTCGGAGAAGCACCTTTTTGGCGCCTGCACGGAGACATTCCTTTCAAGGACATGTGTTGGGTTTGATCCAGAAAATCCTCCTGCTGCAGAAGCACCGGAGCACCTGGTTCGGGCACCTGAGGTCTATGAGGATATGACCCGCTTAGTCAATTCAGGGTGGGAGGAGATGAGTGTGCCGGAAAGTGATGAGTCCGAGCCGAAGCCAAGGGACTCTGACGCCGAGGACTCTGACTCCACAGTTGACGCAGACAGAGCAGAATGTTCGCCGTTTTTGCACTCCTGCCACCCTCATCCTATTGTCCTTAGACGGTGTTCTGGTGAAGGACAGACTGCTTGGCGTGACGTTTGTTGCGTTTGCTGGCGCTTGAACCCTCCAAAATTATTCTGCTGTGCAGAAAGTCCAGGGGTCCAGGCACGGGGCATCGGGAGGATGCATATGAATGAACATGGCAATTGGGAGTACAGCGAAGAGGGAAGAAGGGCTCGCGCATGCGACTTCGACATCTGCCCTGAGTGCCTCGCACTTGCCAGCAAGGCACACTGCGCGAGCATGAGCTCAGGGAAACTCGCTCTTGCGACATGAACACCGATGTCTTGGTACTGCATTGCATTGATTATTGGCAGTCGCTCCGTGGTGCGTCCATTAGTTTCTGGGAGGCAGCCGCATGTGGGTGAGACATGCAGTAAAACAGTGCTGTGCCGCCCACTGGCATATCTTTACGTCTGAAAGGCATGCAAGGTTTCTTGGGCGGTCATAGGCTTGAGGGACAACAGCCTCTTCTTTCGTTCTTGCTTGTCAAGTCACAAGACCGGATCGTTCCTGCTGAGCCAGAAACACCTTGGGGACCAAATCACCCCTTATAAAGTAGGGGCCCTATATATACCCTTATACCATGAATCCCAAGATGGTGTATGAACCGGAAACCCTTTTAGGGCTCGTTTCGTCCTTAAGGTTTAAAGCCCTAGCCCCTAAACCCTAAACCCCCTAAGCCCCGTTTCGTCCTCAGGGCAGAGATTGTGCAGTGCGCTCTTTTGCAGATGCGTAGCGAGGCCGGCAGCGCTGGAGTCGGAGCCGCAGGAGGCCGTGGCAGCCGCAAAAGCGGTGGCTCAGAAGTTCTGGAGTTTAGTGTTGTCTTTCCGGGTTTCGGGCTTGTAGAGGGGTTGTTAGGGGTTAGGGGTTTAGGGGTTTAGGGGTTTAGGGTCTGGGGTTTAGGGGTTCTTGGGTTGAGGGTTTGGGGTTTAGGGTTTAGGGTTTTTGTTATGGTTTCTACAAGGGTTGTATGCGGATTCCCTGAATGGAAGGGTTCTTTATGGGGTTCTATTGGGGTGTCACAAACCCCTATCTACTGAAAAACGGAACTCCCATCCGAGTTATTAAGGTAGCCCTAATATAGAGGAACCCTTACTATAGATCCCTCAGAGGAGCCCTTGTTTTCGATCCCTGAAAGGAACCCGTGCTATAGATCCCTTAATATTATAGTAACCCTGATTATCAAACTACACCCTAAACGCTAAACCCTGTACTAGCATATTACACCCTATAAACCCAGACCCTATACTATCATATATTCCGCCCTAAACCCTAGGCCCTAGGCTACCATGTGTCATATATTACAACTTAAACCCTGGACCCTAGACTATCATATATTCCCCCCCTAAATCCTCGACCCTATACTATCATACATTCCCCCTAAACCCTGGACCCTAGGCTATCATATATTCCCCCCTAAACCCGATAGACTCTAGAAACTATCATACATTCCCCACTAAACCCTAGACCCTAGACTACCTTAATACAACAGCGGAGGCCGCGAAAGGCTTCGACTTCGGCGCCTTCTACGCGGCGCACGCTGGCAGCAGCGAGACGCCCGCGTCGCTGCCAAGGCTCTGTGGCGCTCCGCGGGATCCCTCTGGTTTAGGGGTTGGGGTTTAGGGTTTATGATTTAGGGTTTAGGATTTTGGGTTTAAGGTTTAGGGTTTAGGATTTTGGGTTTAAGGTTTAGGGTTTTGGGCTTTGTTTTCTGGTTTCGTGTGTGTTCTGTCTTGGTTGCTACTTTCCTGTTGAGGCCTACTTCCCGAAGGGGGTATTTAACTTGGAATTCTTGCTGGTACTCCCGTAGGTGCCGCAAGGTTCCCTAAACAATCCCCGGTGCCGCAGCACCCTCCCGCGTTTAAATCACCCTCCTTAACGATCCTGTAAAGGACCTAGGCCCCTAAATGCCACCCGTAGCCCTACCCCCCCAAAAAGCCTATATGTCTTGTTGAAGGCTTCTTATTATACTTATAGGGGGTCTAGGTAGGGTTTAGGGTTTAGGGTTTAGGGAGTCTCCATTATATGGTTCCTTTTTGGAGGTTACCTTTTAGTTTTAGGATCCTTGAAATAGAATTGGCTTAAACCAGAAAAAGGAACTAGAATGGAGACTAAACCCTAAACCCCTAAACCTCTAAACCCCTAAACCCCTAAACCCTGAACCCTAAACCTCTAAACCTCTAAACCCCTAAACCCGAAAGCCGAAGCCCTAATCTGATGACAAGTTCTTTTTCTTCAATGTCAGAGCCCCAAAAAACCCAAAAAACCCTACACCCAGCTTCCAGCCCCAGCTCTGAGTCTTGGGATCCAGAGGCCTACCGTTTTAGGGGTTCTACCCGGTTTAGGGTTTAGGAGTTTGGGTTTTGGGTTTAGGGTTTAGGGTTGAAGGCATGACAATCTACTATTTTGTAGGGTTGGGGGTCGCAGGTAGATGTACGCCCCGGCGGGGGCCCTTAACGAGAACCCTCCCAAAGAGCCCAATACCCCTTAATTCAGGAATATGTACCTCAAATTACAGTGGCCTCCTTAGTAGTCTGGTTTAAGGTATATTCCTTAGTTAAGGAATATACCTTAGGTCATAATACTAAGGCCCCTACAATTTAAGGTATAGTCCTTAATTGAGGGGGTATTTGGGCTCTCTGGGCTCAAGCAGAAGCCATCTCAAGCCGCGTGGAAGCTGCTTGCCGCTCTCGAGATCTTTCTAACGAACCCCAACGCAGCCGTACTTACAACGAGAAGCCTCCAAAAAGATATAGGCTTTTTCGGGGTAGGGCTACGAGCGGCATTTATAGGTCTAGGTCCCCTGCCCTACTTAGAGGCCCAGGGGACGTAGTAATTCGGTTAGAAGTAAGGGTTGCTACAAGGGTTATAATTGGGGTAACCCCACTTCGGGTACTTATAACTCTACTTATAACCTACTTACTAAGTCCCCTGCGCCTCCAAGCAGGCCCAATGTTTGAAAGCCAAGCTTGGCAGCTGCATCTGCGAAGGCTCTATGCGCAGTTCTTAACGCTGCGCTGCGCGGCCTCTGCACCGAAGTCTCCGCAGAAGGCAAGCTTGGATTTCTGGCTTGGCTTTTGGTCTTGTGGCTTTTGTGGGTTGCCAGTGGATCCAAGAACCTCCAACACTGGCTTCACGCTTACACCCTATACTGATTGAGGTCATAACCTACTATTTTGTAATGTTGTCTTACAGTCGTAGTTGGGTTTGGGGGTTAATATAGAAGCTTGAATAATTGCCTTATATTTCGTTGAGTTCCGTCCGAACTATGCTTCTATTGTAATGGACCCCAAACACACTCCCAAGTTTAAAAGCCCAAGTGTTAGCTGATGTGGGCTTGACCCTAAACCTTGAATACTTGTAGGCCCGTACGGTACCCTTATAAAAAAGGACTCTAAGACGTGACCCTAATTTAGAGAACTACCCAGATGGTTTAGGGTTCTACTTTGTCAGGCCCAAACGGTTCGATCGGGGTTTTGAGGAAAAGGAAAGTATCAGCCCTACCTCAAAGACGAAACTAACCTTAAAAGGGCTTTAGGCTCGAACACGACGTAGGGATTCATAGTAAGTGTCAGGGTTATAAGGCCCTTACTTTTACGGGTCATTTGGGCTTCATGGTATGGGCCATACACCCCCTAAGCCCTTAAAGGTCCTGAGGGGATCCTGTTACAAACTACTGCGAAACGGGTAGGAGTAAAAGGTTACATACTATCTAGCCATTTGTCGAAATCGCAACCGCACCACAAAGCCCTTCGGGATACCCTAAACCCTAAACCCTTACAACGCTAAACCACAAAATCCTTTGGGGTACCCTATCTGGTCAGCGTATCATGCTGAGGCCGACCCACGACCGTTGGCTCCGGCTCCGTTTGGTGTCTTTGCCTTAGTGCTTTCCCTGAGAATTCCACCCAGGGGATTAGGGTTTAGGGGTTTGGGGTTGATGTTTTGAGTTTAGGGGTTATGGTTTAGCAGTTTAGCGGTTTGCGTGTTTAGAGATTCAGGATGAGGGCTTGAACTGCATTTTAGGTCACGGCAAAGCCTGGCATGCATCCTGTTTGGCCTTCCGAAGATTCGAAGTGCAGAGACCCCCGGCAGAGCTGAGAGTGTGGCAGCAACGTATTGCGACAATTTTCTCGCAGTCGGAGCCAGACAGACCGAAGTACGCCGTCAATGCTGAGAATCTCTATGCAAGCTTTTGCAACGGCTCCCCAGATCAGGACGAGGTTGGGCACTGGTGCATTGTCGGTCAATGCGACCAATGTGCGGACTTGTCAGCAGACGAACAGATTGCGCTTGCATTGAGAGCATTCTTGGATTTGTTTGGCCGTGGGTTCAAAACTCCTTTACTGCAGAGATGGAAACACTACGGTCCTGCGAGCAGATATATGTTGTGTGGGATGGCACTGCACAAGATTCTGCCAAGAACGCTCCTGCACATGTCGAGTGGCAAACCCGGAATTAAGCGGGCCTGCAAAATCTTGACAGAAGCAGCTGCCGCTGAGGAGAGGATTGTTGAAGCTGCTTCAGATGATGACGGGATGGATTACACTGGACCCTGGAATGAGGTTGTGAGTGTTGTGTAGGGTTTTGAGTTTGCCTTAAGCGCCCAATTACCTTTATGGGTACGACAGTATAAGATCTACCTCAAGGACCACATGACACTTTCAAAGTAGAGGTCCTGTATACTTATTTTATGAATCCCCATCTTAAAGTAGTTGAACCCTGGTCTCTTTTAGAATGCAGAAGAACCGTTTCCAGAGGTCCATTTTAGGGTTTAGTGTTTAGGATTTGGGGGACAAACGAAAGGCGCCCCCTAGATCTGAAAGTGTGTCTCGTATTTCCCTGCATGTGATTTTCAATTACAGGCCCTTAACCCCATGAGCCCTAACTTTGTAGCTGAATGAGTACACTTCAAACTTTTTGGGTAGTAAACATGACCCCTTATAGAACTGAAAGTGTGCACTTTTTTGCGCTTATGAACTCAGCAACTAAGCTAAGCAAACCCATAGCACCCATCCTTTCTTCCCTTATGGACCAGGACGGGAGCGGCAACCCGGCCATTCCAAACCCCAATAGCCTAACCCTAAATTCTGCGGATAAACCCTAAAACCTAAACTTCCCTAGAAAGAGAGCGCCCCTGAGGCCCCCGGGTCGTTCGGCGACTACTATGCGGCCCACGTAGCCACGGCTTTGACGCCTTCAGAGCTGCCAAGGCTGCCGGGGGCTCTCATGGACTTGGGGTTTAGGGGCTTTAGGGTTTTAGGGTTGAGGGTTTTAGGGTTTAGGGTTTTAGGGTTCTAGGGTTTTTGGGCTTTAGGGTTTTTGGGTTTTTCGGCTCTAGGGTTTAGGGTTTTAGGGTTTAGGGTTCCAGGAGTTTCCACTTCGTATGCATCGGATGTGAGCAAACTGTGGATGAGGCCCTAAGCCCATAACCTCTGATGAACAGGCCCCGTCCTCGAGAGAGTTGAGCAGGGGTATGCTTACATTGGCTTACAGAGACCGGAATTGGTAATTCCGAGCATCCTAGAAGACCTCTGCTACGGAAATTTCCCGTGCGTGCGGAAAGCTGTGTATCATGCATGGATTCGGCGCTAAGCTAAGTTGTCAGAGCCTACAGAAGCCCCCTTACATCTCCATCGGCCCTAGGTGTTATGAGGAGACCCCAGGCCCTAAACCCTAAACCGTTTGCAAGTCGGAGCCTTGGATGCAGGCTCTACGAACAGTTCCGTGGGAAGCGGGCGGCTGTGTCCAAAGCCAAGAAGTCACGCCGCCCAGACAAGGCAGGGGTTCAGTGGTTGGAGAGGTTTGGAGGTTTGAGGGTTTAGGACTTAGGGTTTGGGATTTAGGGCTTACATTTAGGGTGCAGGGTTTAGGGTTTTAGGGTGTATGATTTAGGGTTTAGGATTTATAAGGCTTTAGGGTTTTAGGGTTTAGTGTTTAGGTATAGAGCCCTGATGGCTTCCTTGTTAAAGCAGTCTTATTGAGTATGTTTCTTCACGACCCAAAACAACTATCTTAAGGCATTCCTCATAGAACCCTTGAAGAACCCTTTAAAGGACCCATAGATCAAACCTGCAGGAGCCTTTGGATCCACAACCCTCAACTGCAAAACCTTAAACCCAAAACCCAAATCCCTTTTCGAAAGCAAATCTAAACCCTTAATTAAAGGAAATTACAGGTGGGGAGTTTAGGTTTCTAGGGCTTCTATAAGGCTTCTACAAGGTATATAGACCTTCTATAGCACCTGAAAATGTCCTTGACTTAAACCCCAAACCCGAAATGCTTTATGAATGCAAATTTAGACCCTTAAAGCAAGTTCCTAGACCTTGTAATTAAATCCAAAGCTTTAAACCCTTGAGAAGCAAAAAGCCCTCTAAGCCCTAAGAAGCTCTCCAAAACCCCTCTACCCCCAAACCGCTAATTAAATCCTTAGAAGTCTTAGCCCCAAACCCTAACCCTAAGGCTCAAAATAGCCCAAAAAGCCCTGCATAGTATGGTCTTCGGGCCCAAATGCCTTAGAATATGGGTCCTTAAAGCTTTAGGGGTAAGAAAACCGCTAAACCCTAAGCTCTAAACCCTAACCTCTAAACCCAAAGCCCTAAACCCTAAGCCCTAAACCCCTGAAGCCCTAAACCGCTGAACCCAAATCCCTAAGAAGCAGGCCTCATCACCTCGGGCTCCGGCTCCCTTTGGTGCGCCGGGACACTTCGGCGACTACTACGCCGCGCACGTGGCCACGGCTCTCACGCCCGAGGAGCTGCCGAGGCTCCTGGGTTTAGGCTTAAGGGTTCAGGGTGCAGGGTTAAGGGTTCAGGGTGCAGGGTTTAGGGTTTAGAGTTGAGGGTTTAGTTCAGGGTTCAGGGTTTAGGGTTGAGGGTGCGAGGCTTCGGGTTTTGAGTTGAAGGTTTAGGGTTCAGGGTCTGGGGTTTTGGATTCCTTCTTTGATAGTTATTCGGCTACCAGTGGGGCTTCTGTAAGGGTTGTGTGTGTGTGCGGGCTTGATAAAAGCTCTACGGGTCTTGTACGCGTTGTATCGGGTCTTAGATAAAGATCGGGTGTCCAAGAGGGCTTTCTCAGGGTTGATCGGGACTAGTTTGCAAAAGGGCTCCACAGGATTGTCGTTTCTTTGGTAAAGTGTTCTTTTGCGGGTTGGATAAGGGTTTCAATTTCAAAGGGGCTGTAGCTGGTTCAGCAGAGGCATGATTGGGTAGAGCATGAAGGACTGCATCTTGCAGACTTCTCCATGATGTTGATCAGATGTCCACTGGATATCCCTTCACCTATGTAGACCCAATCCTTGAAGCCCAGGCCTAAAACCCTAGGCCATAAACCGAGCGATCTACGATTTACTGGACAGGTACGGATGACTTTCGGGGGTCAGAGGAGGGTTTGCTCGGTTTTGGATCCATAGGAATGACTCATCCCCCAAACCCTAAAGCCCTAAAACCCTAAACCCTACAACCCTAAGCCCGAAGTCTGGCGCATCCGAGTCTTGAAAACAACCATGGGTCTACATGAGGGTTTCCGAAACTAGGGGACCCTAATGTAGTACCCGAATAGTAGGATCCTTAGTATAAGGCCCCTAGCAAAAGGTACCCTAATTTCCGGAAACTCCTACATCAGGATGCCAGGCTCCTGGAGGTGGAGATCCCGCACATAGCCTGACTAAAGCCCTAAAAAGCCGAGCATACCCTCTTTAGGGTGTAGGGTTTTAGGGTTTAGGGCTTAGGGGTTTAGGGGTTTAGGGTATAGGGTTTAGGGTTTAGTGCATGTTGTTTTATGCTATTCTAAGGTTTGAAGTATGGGCCCCTAACATGGACCTCTTAGGCCTTCCTAGGGACCCTTTAAGGGTACCTACACTGGGGGCCCATGGTTTCAACCTTAGAGCTATCTGATCTTATACTGGATTTTAATATAGACCTGGATTCCTAATCCCAGTTACCAATGCCTCTTGCCTCTCTAACTGAATCGCCATATTGACCAGTTTGTGCTGATTGACCAGTTTGTGCTGATTGCCCAGCATGTGATTCGCGAATGTGTGTATTTATGTATGCATATATGCAATTTTTTTTATTTATTTATGCATACATGTCTACATAGATACGTATGTATTGCAGCAAATATTCATATATATATATACACACACATACGCATGTATGTGTATGTATGTGGACATGGATGTGCCAGGCTCTACGAACAGTTCGGCAACCCGAGGCCGAATGTCCGAGATGGCCTCAAGGTGCCGCCGAAGGAGAAGGCGCTGTGCTGGAGCGTTGAGGGTTCCTTTAAGAGTGGCTTCAAAGGCACTACCTCAAGTCTCCATTGTAGTTCCTTTTTGGGGTTACAACCAAAAAAGGAGCTACAATGGAGACTATAGGTACAGTCTAAGGGGCTCCTTTCAGGGCTCTGGAAGGGTAGTAGACGGATTTTGGGTCTTGTGGTTTACGTAAGATCGGAGTCGTTAAGGTTTGAGGGTTGTGGCTTTTTTAGGGCTTGGGGTATACGGGTTTAAGGCTTCAATTTTTCTTTGGCAAGCAGAGAGTGTCAGAAGATAGGGAAAACCTACTACACTTACTTATAGACTTCACAAAGCCATCTGTTGATGATCTAAATCCTGCATTACCTTAAGGACCCTAAGCTGTGGGAATTATGTTATACTCCTTATTATGGGTCATGCAGGATTTATATCATCAACCGTAGGACCCTCCAAGGTTAAGGTTTAGGGCCTAGGGCTTATGAAGAGGACACTTAGGGTTTAGGGTATAGGGTTCATATTACCATATAGGGATTCAGAGTATGAGGGTATAGGGCCCCTACTTGTACGGGTCATTTAGTCCTTAACCCTGGGCATCGTAAAGCCTTAACATTTGCGGTCTTGCTTGAAACGCCGTTCCTGGAGGTTCTCTTGCTTAAGTCCGACTCCAAACCAGGATTCTATAGATTATGGGATATATATTATATATAATATATATATGCATATATATATATTATATGAGCGATATATATATATATATCTATATATATTATAGTTTAGATAGGTAGATCGATATAGATGGATAGATAGATATATAGACAGACAGACATATAGACAGATACTGTTATGCTTCGCCGAGGTTTATCGGCAGCCTCAGGCATTAACCAGATTTCCGGATAGCCCGTAATCCACGTACCCTAAACCTTAAACCCTTGATCAAAACTTTGAAGGTCAGCCCGGACCCTAAAACCCCTAAACTATAAACCTTAAAACCCTAAATCCTTAAACCAGATGATCCATGAAGCGAGCACTGTTGATGGGCCGTGCGACAGCTGCAGCAGATGCAGATGCAGAGGGCAGCAGAGCTTCTTCAGATGGTGCTCTCCCCCGCTGTGCTTTAAGATTTGGATGCACAGTATGTTATGTTTGATTTGAGCTTTGCGATTTTTCGATTTCGAATACGGCCCAGAGTGAAGCGAAACCATGCATGAGATAATCCATTCGGCATTGGTTGGGAGTTTCTGGGTCTAGTTGTGGCCATGGCATCCCAAGCACGACCCGCTCTTGATCAGGGGGATGAGGCCCGGGCTGCATTATCTACGGCTTGATTTTGAGTTCATGTCATCCAGTATATTTCACTATTCATCTTAAACCAAGGAAGAATTTTTGGATGATGTCCGTCGTTGCCTTGACATTGCCCTGCTGAAGCTCGATTGGAAATCGATTCGGACATCCGAGGACCCCGTATTCCCTGAATCTTAAGCTTAGAACCTTGCAGCTGCTTCTTTTCCCTTCCCTCCAGGCGAAGGATTTGGTAAAGATCGATGCAACCTCGGCCGCCCAAGGAGGAGTGTATGAGCGAGATGCTGCTAAGCTTTGCAACTATCCGGTTCTCGCATGTTTAACAGTCGGGGATTTGGGGCATGCATCGCTGAACTCAGATTGTGCTGAATTTTGAAATGGTGGTTCATTTCATTGTGAAGTACGTTACGGCACTGAAAGTCGCATGGCTATGCATCCGTTTCAGGGTCGTGGAGTAATGGATTGTTTCGGGTTTCGGGTTTTGATCTGAGGCTGGATTTATGAAGCTGAATGACGAGCGCGGCCTCCTCGTGGCAGGGACGATCGTTGAAAAGAAAGGCATTAGACACAAGGTGCTCAGAAAAGATATCCACGACGCTTGAACCCACTTATTCTTTATTCGAGCTTACAAATTGAAATATGTTAACACTCCACATCGCTTCAGGACTGGGCTCAGGGCCAAGCAGGACGTCTTCGAGCTCTTCTCGCACTAATTATCCGGATGACCAAAAGAACCCTTGAAGCCAGGACATCGCAAAGCTAGCTTAAAGCTTTCAGTGCAAGCTGCATGCCATCATGATCAGGACGCAGGAGATTCAGGTGCTGAAAAATTTGATTTCGTCCTACGAAGGCTTCGAGGCTCGACCAAGCTACTCGCGAATATTCTGAACTAATCTTGAAATTTCACTCTTGTCAGATGTTTGCCTCTGGGCCTTCAGAAGATGCCAATATGGGCGAGGCACTGCAAGCAGCTAGGCTCATTTATTACCGAATGCTTGAAATCAACTGTGACCCATGTCTGTAGACTCTGAGGCAGTACGTTCCAATGGCAAAGGAGCATCCTCCGTGAGCTTGGACTCGCAGCCGCCGGAGGAGGATCCTTGTTATGGTTGTGTTCCGGGATCTAGAGCTTTCAGTTTTGAGCCGGTGATTTCGAGCCCAGGCTTAGGCTTTGGGTTTCATGCAGACTGTTTTCATCGCTCAGGACAGTGATGAGGAGGAGGCCGCCGACACTGGCGATCATGATGATGATGATGATGAGGAAATGGACGATCCTGATCAGGAGGGAGAGGAGAATGAGGAGATCACGGAGTGATGAGTGTGAGAGACAGATATTAGAGAGAGAGAGAGAGAGAGATAGATAGATAGAGTAAACTTGAAAAGTGGACCCTGAAACAACACAAGCCCCACAACAGTCTCGAAAGACTCCAGCTCCGATCGATTAGAAATATGAGGAGCCAGAGATTCCTACAAAGGCAAATGGAAAGCTGAAGAAGCAGGCCAAGGGTAATTATAAGTAGCAAAAAAACCCTAGAAGACAAATCCACGCCCCGGCAGGAACCAGAGATTACAAAGGCAGATGCAAAGCTGAAGCAGCAGGCCGAGGGTAATTTTCCGTAGCGAAAAAACCCTAGAAGAAAAATCCACGCCCCGGCAGGAACCAGAGGTTACAAAGGCAGATGCAAAGCTGAAGCAGCAGGCCGAGGGTAATTATAAGTAGCATTTCCCATGATCACAGATCTTTCTCTGAACAGGAGGGTAACGCAAAGCTTGCAGCCGACGCAATTCCTCCACCGGGTGGAGCTCTTCAGGCACAGCTCGAAGCGATGGGCATGCCTGTGGAAGAAAGTGTCCTTCTGCTGCAGCGACAGCGAGAGTTGAAAGCCAAGAGTCGCTTGGAAAAGGCATCGAAACAGATGGCCAAGGGCCGAGGCAGGGGTTGTTTTGCTGCATTTCTCTATAATTGTGCGGGCACATAAACACTACACTTGTGCACTTAAACTAGACGTTGTCAGGAAAGGCAAAGACCAAGGCCAAGGCAGCAAAGCAGCAGGAGATCAAGGAGCCAGCTGAAAAGGAGGAGATCGAGGAGCCAGCTGAAAAGGAGGAGATGAAGGAGCCAGCTGAAAAGGAGGGGATGGAAGAGCCAGCTCAAGAAAACGAACCGGAGCAGGAGGATGAGGAGCCAAAGGCGAAAAAGAGGAAGAGCCAGGCAGGACTTCCACGCACACGTAATTACATACTTGTGCTCATGCAGTACACATGCATGTGTTTCCGTCTTCAAAATAAGGCCCAGTTCGTCGTTGCGGATGTTATGGCCGAGCTGCGAGAGATTGGAAATCACCACAGATTCCCGATGCCCGATCCAGAGCAGCAGAAGCGGAAGCCTCTCGGCAAGACTTGTAACTCGATTGGTTTGGGGTTTGAGATGATTTCCGGGTTATGTACTCAGGTGCTATACGATCAGGGATCCGGCGACGCAGGGCTGCAGCAGCATCTCACGGATGGCAAATCAATATGGGTTCTATGTGCCTACCGTATCTCTGGACCATTTGGTGCGAGACTATGCAAAAATCTACGGTGTCTCAGCCACTGCTCTGCATGATCAGTTTGCAATGGTAGCCAAACGACTTGCATTGCATGTGATTGTTTATAACACACCCTGGGTACATGTGCATGTCAGGTGAATAAAAGCGGTGGCTCCAACTTGAGCTTTCGCAAGTTTGGGCCCGTCACCGCCTGGAAGCTAGCACTGTTGTTTGCCGGGTGGGTGCAGCCGCCACGGCCGGGTCCCAACATGAAAGATGAGAGTGCTGTGATGCAGGCGGTTCAACGCCTTGAGATGCCAAAGCCGTTTTGAGTAAGGAGGGCCTGTGGTCGTGTCCAGTTCATAGCGAAATTCATTGAACTAACACTACCCTAGATCTAGATCTAGCGATCTACAATGGCTGGATATGGAACCTGGCCCTCCGACTTTTGGTTATGAATCTCTTCTTGCCGGGCCGGTGATCCCGTGTGGGCTGAGATGTTCCCTGAAAGCAAGCAGTGGTTCCAAAACAACCATGACCAGAAACCTGCTAGTACAACCAAAACCTATGCCCCCGCAGCCCAGGTTCCTCTAGAAGCGGCTCGACACTTCCGCCATCGAGAATGTGCAGCTCGATTTAGAATATATTAAGCCATTAAGCCACAAGCCTGGAAAGCTAAATTTACACCGAAAGTGTGTCGATGTCAGAAACGCCCAGCGAAGCTTGCCTAGCCTAAACCCTATAAGCCCTAAAACCCTAAACCCGAAACCCTAATCCCAGGCCGCAGCGAAAGCGCCGTGGCTGGCTGTTCAGTGTCCGCCCGGCTGCAACAGCCTGAGATCAGGATCTGGATGGGGTTTAATTTGTTTAGTTGTAGAATCCGTTAGGATAGGGTGTTGCAAGGTGTCTTTAGGATACTTCCAAGCATTTCGCTTTTGGGGTTGTGGGGCTCGGGTTGAGGCTTGTCAGACGCTACGGAGCAGGGTTTGGGGCATAGCTCGCGGGATATGGTCGGTGTTGACTTTGTACGGCGGCATTGGGCTTGGGTTCTGGCCGTCCGAGCATACATATGGTTTGTAGTTCTTATAAGTTCTTGTTGAGAAGCTTGCTTTGGGCATTTTGCCTAGGCTTGCGTATACCGGTTTATAATTTAGGGTTTAGGGTTTAGGGTTTATAGGGATATAGGGGTTTCCTAATCGCTAAACCCTGAACCCTAATCCCTGAACCCTAAACCCTTTAAACCCATAAACCCTAAATCCCTAATCGCTAAACCCTAAACCCTAATCCCTGAACCCTAAACCCTTTAAGCTGAGTTCGGTCAAGAGCTTCGAATAAAGCCCAAGCCCGGAAACCCTAATTACCCCGAGAAGCCACGTACATAGGATTTGTTGCTATAGCTAGATTTATGGATGGGTTTCGAAACTTGGGAATAGGATGTAACATAAACTTTGGTCATGATGGGGCCCGAAATACTGGGTGAAGGGTCGCAATAATTCCGCATAGAATGCTAATATATAATCCCCGGCTGTCGTGACCCTAGGCACAATTCTTAAACCCGGGGAAAGAACTTGAACAGCTAGCCCCACATAAACCTCATCCAAACCCTAAGTGTACATAAGCCGACCGCTTCAATCCCCGAAAAAACAAACCATAAAAGACCTGAGCTTCTGTCATGCATGGCCAGAACATTTAAACACGCATCATTTCGGAAACCTCATCCAATACCCTACATAGGCCGAGCCCTGGATTCCAGAAAAACCAAACCGTAAAACTCCTAACCCAAAGCTGGTCTCATCCTGTATGATCAGTTCATATAAACCTCCTCCGAACCCTACAATCTTTCAATCCCCGAATTGAAAAAGCAAACCCTAAACTTCCGTAAAGCCTGGTCCTCATGAATTGTAAAAGCTGCAATGTATAACCTTTTGTTTGCTTGACCCTTCTCGCAGCTTGTCCTATATCTTTCGTCCAAGATAAAGAGTTCTGCTCTTCACGCAAGCATAGCCATAGCCCAGACCCAGCAGCTAGTAATTCTAATTACGAAGCTCGAAGCCCCACTTCGAGTTTGCAGAGCCAGATGTGCTCCAGTACCAATCGCGGAGCAGAAGTTCAACGCAGACACTTCTCGACTGCTATTGATTCCAACCGTTGATGCTGGCAGTCGTGGTTACAAGTTCTGACGTTGCATTGGGACATATGGAAGACACAGCCCCTTGGGCATACGGCACGCCGGCCAAGATTACCTGTGACCGACCAACCAAGTACAGGTCGCAACCACTTGGACCAGCAGCGATTGAACTCTGAAGCCCCGCCGCCTGGCCGGCATCCCGCTCTCAAGGAGCCCTCGACATGTACCGAGCTTTCAACACCGTTGACTCGGAACGCGAAAACCTCCACCGGAGCCGGCACTCCCGGACCCAAAAGAGGGTGGGAGGACAAAGCTATTGGTTGGGACTATCGAGACCTTTACCAAAGCTTTCATAGACCACGGCTTTCACTCGGGCACTGCACATCGCCACCGGGCTGGCACGCAACCGGAGCCCGGTTTGTCCCTCTGCCTCGACCCTAAACCCCGACCCCAATAAAAGGGTTTTAGGTAGCCGGGTTGGTCACTAACAGTTTATTCAACAATCCTTTAATGATGTCGTTTGGGTTCCATTTAATTTGGCCGCCTCCGAGCCTTAGACATTCCAGCTAGTAAATTCGAACCCAAGCAAAACCGATAGCTAGCTCGCTTCTGAGGAACGCATAGACCACTTCACCCCACAAGCCAAGTCCCTCCTCCCAGGCTCCCAGGGATGTACTCGGTGAATCTGCCTGAGATAATCCGGCTTCGTAGTATAATCGCTATTCCCCGGGGTCTTCATCAGGTTCTGTAAGTTCTGTGTTTTGGGGATTCCTAAACCTAAACCCTAAACCAATCCCCAAACCCTACCTAAACCCTAATCCCTCATCGCTAAACCCTAAACCCTAATCCCTGAACCCTAAACCCTTTAAACCCATAAACCCTAAATCCCTAATTATTATAATCGCTAAACCCTAAAACCCTAATCCCTGAACCCTAAACCCTTTAAACCTATAATAATTGTAAACCCTAAACCCTAAACCCATAAACCCTAAATCCCTAATCGCTAAACCCAAAACCCTAATCCCTGAACCCTAAACCCTAAACCCTCAAGCCTAAACCCTAATCCCTAATCGCTATAAACCCTTTATAAACCCTAAACTGTAAAATCCAAAAGAATAATAAATCACGCTCGCATGTCAGCTCTGGCCGATTTTGTGCCTGAGCCTCTGTTCGTGGTGCTTTTGGTTTTGGTAAAGCGGGTTATAGCCTCTGTTCGTGGTGCCTTTGGTTTTCGTAAAGCGGGCTACAGCTAGGACTGCACGGGATTATGAATCTAGTTTTCGGATCTTCTAGTTCAGGCAGAAATATCTAGTCATGACAAACATAGCTACACCGAATTCAGTTCGGATCGGTTGATTTTATTGGAAACCCCATCTAAACCCTAAACCCTAAACCCTAAGATAACCCAGCTGGGTAGTCCCTTGAAGTGAACGCCCTCTCTCTCACGCAGTCGCCTATCCGACCCCACGCATCCTGAAACCCTAGCCCTAGACTCTAAACTAAACCTTCCCTAACCAAAAACCGCAGTATATAGCCATTGTGTTTATTATATATCCCAATGCAAAAGCCTTATAGTACTGGTTGCACTCTTGCGGAATTTTTTTAAGAATTCCGCAAGAGTGCAACCTGTAATTTATAAGACACAAGACTAACCCAGAAACCCGATAATGCAGCAGGGTTTGCAAGGAGACTGCTTCAGCTCTTCGATTCGTTGCTGGGTTGGGCTAGCTAGGTATAGTTAGGGATCAAGGTTCACGGGAGCTGCTCGAAATTCACGGAGGGCTATATGAGGTTTGGGTTTCGGGATTAGGGGGGCTAGCGGGCCAGGGTCAGATTTATGATAAATTAGGTAAGTACCCACCGGGTGATTAGGGCCGGGTTCGTAATCATGGGATACTTACCTTGTCCACATAATCAGTTAGCTTAAGCTATAAACAAATATTATGGCTATAGCAGGGAGTATGATATAATAAATATATACGGGTATACCTAACCAAGACGTGTCAACCGGACCTATAAAATAATACGTCAATATAAGCTATGAATTCAGGCATTACTTTACAGGTCCGATTGTCACGTCCTGGAAGTTTAAATCATTACTAAATTATAGCATAGCGAAATGTATGAAAAGCATAGATAGTGTCGTCTGCAATCCAAGGAATCTCCAGCATGGCCATCGTATGCATAGGCCATAATATCAGCCCAAGACAGCTCGCTCCAGGACCAAAGCTTGGCCTCAAGACCCAGATTCGAACACCTAAACCCTAAAACCCTAAACCCTAGAACCCTAAACCCTAAACCCTAAAACCCTAAACCCTAAATCCTAAAACCCTAAACCCTAAAACCCTAATTAGTCCGATGTGTTGCAGCTATGGACCCCAACTTTTTCCAAATCCTGTGACCCGGAACAGCAATCAACTAGAGGCCCGTTATCAGACGTATCCGGGGACTCCGCTTTGGGCCTATCGTCCGAGGACCTAGTGCTCGACGGCATGATGCAGGTCCGCAAAACGGCATGTGGGGCACTCCAGGTCTTAAGCCTGCAATGCCAACTCTGAAGCCCTAATCCCTGTCACCCAATAACTAATAATTGTTACCCCTACGTAATATTGCAATCATCGTAAATTTATAATGTATATATGTGCTCCGGAACTAGAGAACACATCCTTCGATTTCGGGTCACATCATGGTAGAGCTCTAATAAAGCCTCGCGAGGCTCTCTAGCGCATAAATTGGCTGCAGGAGTCTTTCACTAGCGACAATTATATTATAATAAGAAGCCTCTATATCTATATATATATATGTATATATGTATAACCCTCGAGCCAAATATCAACCCTAGCCAATCCATAAATGTTATGAATATTGGTCCAGCTTAAGCCTCGTGTAGATGCGAGTGATCAAAACCTGGGGTACCGTTTGAGGTTCTGCTTATCTGGGGTTATCAGGTTTTGCTTATTCAAGCGGTATCTTTTGAGGTTTGCTATGTGGGTGCTACCTTTTCAGGTTTTGCTTATCGGTGTTTATCTTTTCATGGGCTTTGCTTATCGCGATAGGGGGGTTATCTTGTCAGGTTTTGCTTATCCGGTGGTTATCTTTTCAGGTTCTGCTGACCGGGGGAGTATCTTTTCAGGTTCTGCTTATTGGGGTGTATCCGGGTGTATCTTTTCAGGTTTTTGCTTATCGGGGGGGTATCTTTTCAGGTCGGTGGTAGTGTAAGCTTTAAGTAGTCCTCCTATCCGGGTATAAATATTCGACAATCAGAGCATCTGATCGGTTCGAGGCTCATATGGTGGGTCTGAGGGAAAGGAGGCCGCGATAATTAGCGATATTTAGCGTTAAATTTCAGCCCAAAAACCTATGTGACACAGGTCTCGCGATAAATAGCGATATTTAGCGATATTTTGCGTTAATTTGTATTTAAGCTCCGACATCGTCTGCAATTCTGAGTTGACCCAACCCCTCCTATAGGAGATGCTCCGTCTATTGCTATAGCCACCAACTCTTGATCAATCCCGGTGTCCGATTCCCTCGTCATTATACAAAACTAAGTACCGTATAACCTCAAGCCCCTATTCTCGTATCGTAAAGATAGGCCCTAAACCATATAGAGGGCAAGGCTCTGCAGCAGATGTGACCGATCGCAACTCCTTGGCTGCTTCTTATCGATGCTCAAATTTAAACTAAGCTTTTGGCTAGGATTTTCCATAGCTTGCTGAAATCATGGGGAAGCGGGGTGCTGGCAGCAAAGCACCAGTTGCAGTGTCTGCTGATGTGCTAGCATTGGTGGAGAGAGCCAAGCATCTGCAGGGAAAGGCAACGAAGCCAGCTGCAGAGACGCCTCGCATGAAAGCCCCCGTCGCAACGCCGGCTCGCACGAAAATCAAGGTGCCGGAAGTGAAGGAAACCATGGACCCCGAGGCCACGCAGATCGAGCCCACCCAGGTCGAGTCCGAGATGGAACTTGATCCTGCCCCAGCTGCTGATAGCTGCAAGCCGAGCCCAATGAGTGCAACCAGCACGCCGCACAAGTCACCGGATTTGAAACGAATGAAGCCCGGTATGAGCTGCGAAAGCCTTTCTAGCTCGGTCCCGTCCCTCCCAAGCTTCAGCGGCAGCGAACGCCGGCCGCACCACTCTGATTCTGCGACAACTCTCATCTTGCCGGGTTACTTCGACAAGTTGAAGATTGGAGAAGGCCAGGGATCGTCTATAGTGTACTGTACATGAGAATTTTTCGATACTTTATATTTAAACAGAGGGCTTACTCTGGTCTCAGGTTCACAGGATCTGAGTGGCATCGTGGAGGACGGGTATATGCACGCAGACCGATCTAGCTAACTAGAGGAATAATAGAAAATAATGCTATATACCATACTATACTAGTACACGACGACGACGACGACTACTACTACTGCTACTACTACTACTACTACTCCTGCTGCTGCTACTACTACGACTACTACTACTATTACTACTATACTACTACTATACTACTACGCTGCTGCTACCAGTACGACTTCACTACTATACTACTTTAACCATATTCTGCTACTCCTCCTTCGCAACCCGCTGCATCTACTACTACCGCGATCTATTGCTTACTCTGTGCAGGAGACCTGTGTGGTATGCAGCGGTCCGTGCTTGAATGAGGATGAGACGATCAAGCAGGCTGACACGACGGTGCAGTTAATGACCATTTATAAAAGGTTCGGATAAGTGTTTTGATCAATTGCAAAGGCTTCCGGTCCGTAGTATACATAGAGCTCGGTTCAATAACTTTTTGGGCTCTCCCTGCAGGGATGCAAGATCTATTGCAGTGCCAAGTGTCTTATGAAGGCCCTCACGGCAATGGTGGATGATGCCAAGCCAGCAGAGCGAAAAGACACCTTGGATGATGTCGTTGCAGCAGCAATGAACGAGCCCGTGGATGCACCGTCATCAGAGGCACCGCCCACCGCAGAAGTCCATGCAGAGATCCCGTCATCAGAGCCACCGCCCGCCGCAGAAGCCCATGCAGAAATCCCGTCATCAGAGCCTACAGAAGCCCATGCAGAAATCCCGTCATCAGAGCCTACAGAAGCCCATGCAGAAATCATCCCGTCATCAGAGGCTACAAAAGCCCCTGCAGAAATCCGGTCATCAGAGGCTACAGAAGCCCCTGCAGAAATCCCGTCATCAGAGCCTACAGCTATAGCTATTGCTCCTGCACCAGGCCCGGTTTCTAGAGCCACCACTAGGGAGCTGGATTATGATCTGGAACGGCTCATGGCTTTCGAAGAAGCCACAGCAGCTACGCAGCGAGCAGAGGAAGCAGAGCACATGCAGGAGGCCGTGAACAGGCTTGTTAAGGCCATGCTGAAGAAGGGCAGCCTTTCGGCAGAGAAGTCTGCCAAGATCCAAGCAGTGCTGGGGCGACGAGATTCAATCGATGATATCGCTCATCTCGCAGCAGACCTAGAGCAGCAAGCTGATGCAGATGCCCAGCTCGTTCTTCCTCACCCGGCAGCTGCCGGCTCGCAGGAGAAGCCCCCACCCATGGCTGCGACCCCGCCGCCCACAGCAGCGGCAAAAGCTCCCAGTCCGACCCCGGCCCCGACAGACACGAAGAGTGCACGCGAAGACGTGACAGCGCCACCGCCACCATGCAAAGCAGAGCCACAGCAGGCAAGCCAAGACGAAAAGAGCCCCGAGGAGATTGAAGCTGAGTGGCAGGCAAAGGAGCGAAAGAGGCTAGCACACAACAGCTATATGCGGTATGGCCGATCCCTTCGCAACTCGAGCTGAAGCTCTCAAGCCGAACCATAACTCCTAATCAAAACCCTTCATACCTAAACCCTGTACTCTCGAAACCTAGACCCTAAAGCCCTAAAATCTAAACCATAATAACACTAAACCTAAACCTTAACCCTCAAGCCGATGTCGATCCATTCGCAACTCGAACTGAAGCCCACAAGCCGAACTACCACTCCTAATCAAAAGCCCTGATCATACTTAGACCCTGTGCCGAAACCTAGACCCTAAACCCTAAGCCCTTATAAACCCTAAACTTAAACACTAATCCATGAATCGCTGCCAAGGCAGCAACAATTGCCCACCCGAGATCTACAACAAGGTCTTCACCGCCGATGGAAAATCCAGTGCTATGGCCGCCTCAGTGTTAGGTCGGTAGGTAAGTAGGTAGGTATAGATCATAGGTAGGTAGGTGGGTGGGTAGGTAGGTAGGTATAATAAGTTGGTGTAGGGTTTAGGTAGGTAGGTTTTGCAAATGTTGTTCTTTGTTGCACGCCAACCCTGGTCTGCAGGAGGAACCAAAATCATGAGACATTTCTACGAGATGTATGTCAGTGCCAATGAAAACTGGCTCCAGAGCTCAGTGATGGTCAACATCCGGAATTCCTCTAAGGGAAAGAAGACCGGCAAGTATGTATGGAAGCAATGGCAAAAGCTGGCCGAGGAGTGTTTTAGCTGCAAAAGGATCAAACCGTTTAGGCAAATTTTGGAAGGCTACGAAACCCCTTAATTATGAAAGCTTAGATCCTGCTCTGCCGAGGCATGGGGAAGACATCGCCAATGGCATCGCCGAGAACAAGAAAAAGGAAGACCCGGCGGGGTCGGGACGGTGGTGGATGAAGCACCCCGATGTCGACAAGAAGGAGCAAACAATCAGCCATTTCTCATCCCGCAGCCCTAGAGACGACCTAAAACCTTAAGCTAGTCCGCTAGATACCTACATATATATATATACCCTAAACCCTAAACCCTAAACCTTAAGCTAGTCCGCTAGATACATATATGTGCAAGGAGTACGAGCTGTATAAGGTCTTCGACTCGAAAGTTGAGTTGAGGGAGGATGAAGAGGAGTTCGACTTCACCTTGGGATTCGAGATGCAGTTGGATGGGCCAGGGACAAGGCAAGCTCTGCTACTTGCTCTAATTATGGAGTAATTGATCTCTTCTCCTGCAAAGCGAAACACCCCATAATCTAACAACTCTATGCTGATCCGAGGTCCGAGTGCATGAATGGCCCGCCGCTGGTCGCAGAGCCTGGGCAGAGCTCGAGGGCTTTGCCGAATCCGGGCTCAAATGCCGGTGGCTCGAACACCAACAATCCGCCGCCCCCGCCAAACCCGGCGAACACGAAACGCACCCCGAAGCCAAAGACGGCATCCCAGCAAGCTCCTGCACTCGTGAAGATGTGTTCTGTCAAAGTGACAGAAGCCGACGGCTTGAAGACGATGCTGCTCTCGAAAGGTGTGTGTCTTTGCTGCAGCTTCCCACTTTGATTCATTATTTCTTTAGTTTGCCCCTATATTAGCTGTTTAATTTTCTGCCTTGGCCATCCTATCCGCAGGGGCGGTGCTTTCGCTGATGCACTCATCCTTGACATTGCCCCAGCGATTGTCAAAATGAAGGAAGCTTACAGCAATCTTCAGCAAAGCATGACCAAGGGCCTCCCAGACGAGCAGCTTCAGCCGATTTGTGATGCTATGGTTGCAGCAAGCAAAGACTACGACGAGAAGTACAAGACCTTGAAACGAGCCTGCCCTTCCAAGGCGAAGCCAAAGGCGGCCAAGGGGCAAGCCGCTCCCGCGACGCCGACGGTGTAGTCTCGGATGCCAAGGTTATTATTATATGGTTTGGATCGAAGCAACGATGCTACGCAAGTTTTGTGTGTGTGTATGTGAGCAGGGCAATCTTCAATCACGCCTGGGCTGCCTGTCTGGCCTGCTTAGCTTTAGTATACTCAATCAACCACGAACCTTATGCCACCCAAAAACAAGCAGGCAGCAGGCTGGGCTTAGATGCAGCTCTTAGTGTGCTCTCCGACTCTAGATTGTGCTGAGGGAACTCACGAAGTCGCCGGCATCGTGTGAAATGAGCATCTCCCCACGTGCATGTGTACATATAGTCGCACGACCCCAACTCGGATTCAAGCATCGTCTATCCCCATGCTAGATTGCACTATAGCTAGATGTTTCATGTAGGATTTCGGTTGTTGGGGTTATATATATACCTTGGGGATAATATATAGGGTTAAGGATCTAGCCTTTGTAGATGTAGCCTGCCCAAAATAGCAGGTAATGGCCAGTTGCCCGAATTCGAAAGCTAAGAAAATCTACGAACACCGAAATGCCTAGAAACTGAGACTGAGAACCCCTACCCTCGCGATGTAGCCGAAAATCCCCAAAACTCTGCACCCCCCAATATACCCGAATCCCCATATCCTAGACTCCCGGATGCCTCGTCATCTTATAATACTCCATTTAAACCTCAAACCCTATAAACCCTTGTCCCCACGCAAACCGAAATGCCTAGTTAACTGAGACTGAGAACCCCTATCCTCGCGGTGTACCCGAAAATCCCCAAAACTCTGCACTCCGCAATATACCCGAATCCCTTATAAATCCTAGACTCCCGGATGCCTCGTCCCATTCGAGCCAAACCTTAAACCCTAAATCCTTGTCCCCACGCAAACCGAAATGCCTAGTTAACTGAGACTGAGAACCCCTATCCTCGCGATGTGCCCGAAAATCCCCAAAACTCTGCACTCCGCAATATACCCGAATCCCTAAATCCTAGACTCCCGGATGCCTCGTCCCATTCGAGCCAAACCTTAAACCCTAAATCCTTGTCCCCACGCAAACCGAAATGCCTCGTTAACTGAGACTGAGAACCCCTATCCTCGCGATGTACCCGAAAATCCCCAAAACTCTGCACTCCGCAATATACCCGAATCCCTTATAAATCCTAGACTCCCGGATGCCTCGTCACCTTATAATCCATTTAAACCTCAAAACCTAAACCCTTGTCCCCACGCAGGTGTTCCGGGCACTATTCGACGCCGCCTACTGAGTGGTGTGGGAGCTGGCGAAACTTTGCTGCATTTTTGTTCGTAATAAATACATGTATACACACACACAGACGAACCCGTAAGCATCTTCGAGTCGCCCGGTTCAGGATCCCACGAGCTCGGCCCAAAAATTCACTTGTAGACAGGACTACTTTTTTCGTGATGGTTATATTCGATCCGCACATGGGGTCCAGGGTTCTATTAATAATATATTTGGCATAAGCAATACATAAGGTTCACTTCGGATCACATTACTGGGTTTATAGTGCGGGGATTCGCGAGGACCAAGCCAGGCCTGAAGCAATTGCTTATTATTATTATTATTAATATTATTATACAATACGTACTAATCTTGCCCTGAACTATAAGCCCTCTAAGCCTAAACCTTAGATTTTTAAAGAGGCAAGCCCGTGTATCTGAAACCCCCGAAACCCAAACCCTCCAAATGCGGCCATCTCCCACAGTGATCAGGAATGGAGCAGCAATGCCGCCCAGGAAATAGCAGACTGCATCAGCATCGAGCCTCGGCTTTTCTGAGTGGTTGGGTCCGGTATACTATGATCAAACGGTTCGTCATCACTGACTCAGGAGCTGGGTCATGCAACACCGGCTGGGGTGGAGGATCTGGCTGCATGTGGGGCTCGAGGCTCGCATCCAGGCAACGTCTGGAGAGATGTGCAGGCTCGTTGCAAAGACGAGGGAGTGGCTTGCACATTATTTAATCAAACATATAGCTAGCTTCAGGTTGGCTTCATGTAGATCTGATCAATAATTACAATTGATCATGATGAGGTGCCTGAGATGGACTCAATCACAATTTATGTGAAAGCGCGAGCAGACCCCAACTGCCCCGATGTGGTTCCGTTCCAGCTACCAATCTTCTCTCCGCATCGCCTCACTGCCTGGCTAGTTCGTACTGGTCGCCTGCAGTTGGACCGAGAAGCTTCGCAGCAGTTCTCGAAGCACTTCAGGGAGCAGCGAGCTCCTTGGATGCAAGATGAGCTTTATGCTGCTACGAACTACTACCCCTACGGGTTATATGGAGATGAAGCTGAATACACGGTCACTAAAGAGAAGCTGCTGGTGATTTTTATCAACTTTCCTTTGCAGACTTCCTCGAAAACAGTGTGGGATACCAGATGGCCAATCTGTATGCTCCGTACTGAACGGATCGTTGGGCCAGAAACATTAGTCCCGATCTGGGATTATCTGGCCTGGAGTGCCAACGTGCTTTTCGATGGAAGATGGCCCCACAAAAATCTTTCCGGAGAAGAGATTCGATACTCCGACAGCTATTGCAGAGCTGGCCAGTTTCTTTGCAACGGCAATAAATTTAGGTTATGCGAATTTCGTGGCGACTGGAAATGGCATCTGCAATCGTTTAGATTGAAGGCACATTTCGGAGCGAACAACATTTGCCACAGATGTGCAGCTTCCAAAACAGATGCTCTATATCCGTATTCGGACTTCCGCCCAGACGCTGCTTGGATTCAAACAGAGCGAACTCAGCGAGAATTCCTACTCACAATGCTTGGCGAACCGCTGAATAGCTTGGTCTACGTGGCCGGGTTCCACTACCGAATGCTAAGGTTCGACACGATGCACGCAGTGAGTCTGGGGATAGGCCAGTTCACCAATGGATCGGCCTTCAAGGAGCTCTTGGACATCAATCACTTTTCTGGTGACGATAATGCTGCTGTGTTCCGTCACGCTTATAAATCCTTCAAGGCTTTCCTGAAATCTCAGAAATTGGAGTGCTCACAACCCCTGTTCAGACCGTGGATGTTGGTTCTTCACGGGGAAGACTACGGCCTGTTTGCTAGCAAGGATCCGAAATCGAAATACAGCAAATCTATTTTAATTTTATTTTATATATAGGGGCTATGCAATCGATTTTTTTGTGGGGTTTAGGGTTTAGGGTTTATAAGGGCTAGCTGGGTTTCTATAAGGGCTAGCTGGGTTTCCCATGTGTTGCTAACAGGCATACAACGGCAGAATCATGAGCAGCTGGCTGGCTTCGGAATGTGGCAAAGCTTTGGCAGCACAGCCTTCGCGACGAATGACTGCAGCTGCTTCCTGCACTTACTTCCTGCATCGGTGGTATTGTCTCGTGGAGGGCAGTGGGCGATATCTCACGAGTGCCGTTTCTCGTACATAAACGAGTAGAATTTATGGTTCGGCTGTTGCATTGTAATTTAGACTGTAGGGTTGGGGCTTCATAGGGTTAAAGCCAGGAAGCCGACGAAATCTTCAATACAGCTCTTGCCTACCTCCGTTGGTACACTATGCTCGCCAAAGATGCGGCCTCTGCCGGGCAGTTTTCGGATTCATCCCAGCAAGATTTTTAGGGTAGGATAATTCTGCTCGAGTTCTGTGTAGCGAAAGCCATACATTTGCCAATATTCCCCAGGCAGCTCTGGACTCTCCGCCCGAAGCACCACATTTATTACCACTTGAATCTGGATGCCCGCCGCGAGAAGTATAACTTGCGATTTTATAGCTGCTGGCGGGATGAAGCGGCTATGGGAATTGCCAAACGCGACTCGCTGATCATAATCCAGTATACCCCGGAACACTTGGGAGCCTATTCAACCTAAACCGACTGTGTTTGCCGAGGAATTGCTCGGACATGTCAACCAGATGCTTTGGAGGCTTCGGCTATGCAGAAATGGTATCTTCAGTGACTCGACTTTACATCATGGGTCTCAAGCTTCATGCTGGGAAGTTCCGAAGTCTCATCTAATACTAGTTATATCCCAGGCTATGCACAAACGTGGAGAGCAGCAAGGCCAAGCGGCTGTGGAGGAAGGGCCAATTCCGGCCCACGAATCGCTGACTCCAGTCATGGGCTCACGGAAGGAGTAGATGCAACCCTAGATCATCGAACTTTAGCATGATATTACGCATACTGTTATGTTTGCAATCGCGTGGCCTTGGCGGAGAGTTTCACAGATCGCTTCCGAAGTTCGATTCGAGGCAGCACCCTGGAAATATTGGTTCGATTCCATTCTTGATCATGATCAAAGATTGCATACCCCGAGCATGAAACCCCAGTGCATTCAAGCTTTGAGAGACAACTTCATCGAGATTTCGATCGTGCAAACCCATATATATTCCCTATATAATAACCTCATATAGGATACAGAATCTTGAAAGTCCTATTCTGAGGACTATGGTTCCCAAGACCTGTCTAGAATAGGCTTTCATCAACGCCTTAACATTTGCGGTCTCGGATTCCTAGGGTAAGGGGCTTGATACAGGCTTGGCGTTCTTCTGGTTGGCTCTTAGGACTTTAACTTCCCGGCTGTCATGATAAGCAGGCGAGAAGTGACTTTTCGGAGCGGTTCAGAAGTCAGCCAGGCAGGGTTTAGGGGGTAAGGACTAGGGATTTAGGTTTTGGCTGTAGGGCGGCGCAAGTCGTATAGCAACCCTGGCGTGCGCTGACAAAAGGAAGTGCTGGTTGGCTGGGGTACTTTGTGCTACACCCCAAACCGTAAACCTCAAATATCCCCAAACGTTAGAACCTTGAAGCCCCCAAATCCGGTGAAGCCTGAACCCCCTACTCCCCAAGCCCACGCAACTCTTCGGAAACTTTAATCCCCCAAAGTACTTTAATTTTTTATTTTTGAATGCCCAATCCCTTTTGGGGTAGTCATCCAGTACATGCCTAAACCGCTTTTGTAGGAACTGCTGTAGGCAATATATAGGCAGGTACATTGGACCCCTTAATCCCCAAAACCTTCAAATCAATTGAAA